GTAGATGATGGCAAACTGTCATTACACTGACAAGAAGTGTAATACCCATTGACCGCTTGAGTCCAATTCTTTCCCAACACGCCGCTTTTTCCCTGTTGGCATTCGATCGACGACTCGTCACGAGGGTTTCGTCGGAGGACCTTGCGAAGTAGTCTCAGCCTTTTGGGCACGCAAGGTGAATGTTCGATGTATTTATTATCTGTGAGTTGCATAGCATTCGAGAGATATTGCTTTTCTTTGTTAGCGTGGCTGAAGCTCGTAGCTTTTGAAGTGCTCATAGATCTTCCACCTCCTGTGCCCAGCGATCCCTTACGCAATCGTGGGCGTTCCACGAAATGAATGCAACAACCTACTGCAATCGTGACGGATGAACACGGAAGCATTCAAGGATTTTTGGAGCGAATCGAACCTGTTCAAAGTTTCTTCTTGAAGATGATATATGGTGTGCTTTATAATTAGGGTCTGCCGGTATCGTGTCGATAAATGAACTCGCATTTCCTATACTTAACCCGCTAGTTTAACCTTCTGTGATCGATGGACAAGGATTGGGATACACCTGGTACGTCTGTTTAGGCGGTGCAACCACATCAACATATGCTGCTTCAGATCTTTTTAGATTGAGAGTGCATGCTTAACAGGAATGCTACTGTACATTAGATACCATCCTTGCGCGCACCCATCTTGCTTGGCGATTGCAGGCGTAATGCGCTGTGCTCCGTCTAGAGCATGATCGCGTTTATGGCACATGATCAGTCGGACAGAAGAGCTGCTCTCATAGGGTTGGACAGGCAATGTAAGCGGCCTCACAGTGGATGCCTTGTGTGTTCCAACCGACGTCTGGCTGAGACATTTCGATAATGAATCATCCGCATATTGTCATTGCTGGCAGACACCTTGAGCTAAGCAATTATTGCCTCTGTTCTTGAGCCGCCAGTTCCCTAATTTCTTTGGAATAGAGGATACTCATAATTATCATGCTTTCCGGGGGGCAAGTATACGTGCTATATCTTCACAGAGGATTTAATATTTAAACAGCTCGGTCGTTAAATTGGTTATCAGTGATACCAAGTGCAACGGGGTTGCCTTGCATCTTGCACGGATGAATCTTTGACTATAAAAATCAGCGTTAACTCACCGACAAGGAATATTTGAGATCAAGTCAGGGACTAAATTGAAAGCCGCTTCAGTAACTTAACACGCAATTTTCTCTTCCATTTTATGATTGCATCTATTTAGCCTGTACAATATTTTTAATTAACAAAATAGGTTCGAATAACAAACTATCTGTATTGCTTGACTTTGGGACAACAGCAACATGTATCACGGATGTCTCTTTTACGGAGTCCCATCATCTTCACTAAAACTTTGTTACACTTGGGTATTGCACAGTTAGCACAGCTGCACATAAGTGTAATGCTTTGAACAGAGTCATTCCATATCCGCTTAGAATCACAGCTTTCATGGAGGCCCTAAATACCTTTATTCCGGATATTTCCCCTCTTCTTGTGAGCTCTTTAGCTGATTATGTTACATGTTCCCCATACATTGTTGTCGCCTCTCTGAGTCAGATATTTTGATATAAAAGGCTTGAGGTGCTATAGTGATTAAGACAGTCCTAGACGATTACAAGATCAAGATATTGTTTTAGAACTCGAATTATGACTGCTACATCATACCCACTTTCTAGAACAAAGACATAATGTCCATTTATTTGTCCGTCAAGAGCTGACTCAACAAAGCATAACCATAGCAATTAGCTGTCAACGTTTCCAGGGGCAAGTCATTATATCGGATGATACGGTTTTTTCAATTGACAAAGATCTAGTGCTGACAAATGTGCAATCTCGCGTGTTTGGCATCCGATTTAATCTTCAAAGTCGAGGCCTAAGCATTGGATCGAGCCACGAAAGCGATAGGATCGACTTTTGACGTGAACAAAATATGGTGGCTTCGCATCAGACGCTAACATAAAGCTAGCATTAGAGCACTTTCGAGCGGTAGTGCATCCGAATAACATATCAGGTAGATCGGTGAGTCCGATGCGACAGAATATTTTGATTATGAGAGAACAAATAGCTGGGCACCTGTCAACAAACAGCGTCAGACATCGATTTCGGGATGGAAGTCCAAAGCGCGTGCGCAGAGCACGATATAACGCTGGCGTGATTATGCGCCTGCACAAAGAATTAGATTTGGAGGAATTAAAATTTAAAGCGCTTGTTTTCTAGGTCGCTTCGTTAGCTTTTTCTGATACTACAATAACTTTTTTGCAATCCTCATGCCAGTAAAGAGAAGAGCGAAGAGAAAGACTATTGGTGTAAGCTCATGAAGACTTCTAGCTATCGTAAACAGCAGCTGGGGGCATATCATACCTGTTTTTGTACTGACTAAATACTTCCAGCTGCTCCACGGCACCACCATCACTTACATATGGTATTTGTTTCTATTATTCGAACCTAGCCCGACAGTTGTATGTTACTTATGCGCACTTCAAGCGTCTCCGATTTTCACAAACAGGGTGGCTTGGTTATCCTGTAGTTAAGCCCGTGCGCACGGGGCTAATGCTTCGATTGCCCGGAGATTTTGATACACCTCACACAAGAGGCGCTATGAGACTTGCACAGAGAAAGCATCGACTCTGCGGGTTTACCCTATCAAGGCGCAGAAGATAGTTTTAAAAGCAATTTTGTAGATGCAAAGCCCAGATACTTCTACGCACCTATTACTTAATCCAGCCAAGATCAACAGTGCCACGCTTGCTAAATATTTGTACCCAATATATACGTTTGTCGCTCATATCAACACGCCTAAAGTAAAGAAATATGCTATGCTTAAGGATAGCAGTCCACGTGCCCACAAAGTTACCCTTTTGAGGTACCCTTACCTAGTGCTTGTTCGTTTTATTTCGCACTAGTACTTCGCCAGGATACTTTTTCGCCTTTTTGTAAGCTTTATAACAATTTTCTATGATAATAAGGGCCTCTCACGCATACCCCTTTGAACTCACAGTCATTATTGTCACGATTCTTTCTGATCATACGAAGGGTCAATCAAGCCTCCACGCAAGATTATTTGACAACCAAATCGCAAGAAATTATCAAGGTCAAGTAGACGCAGAGCTGCCTACTAGAAAGGGACTACCCTCTTGTGTATCTTGGTGAGGTCAAAGTCAACTGGAATAAGCCTACAAGAGCCTCTCCCAGAGATAGGTGAGGCTTAAAGCCCACAGTTGTTGGAATGTCACAAGCTTTGGAAGGCTGTGGAGAGTCCTGATAGAACAGGAGCTGTGCGATTACGTATGGCACGCAACGACTGGATATAGTAGGCGGATTGCGGAGGCATTCAAAATACCAAGTGCGAATACAATATTTGTGCGTCTTGTGATGAGGGCATGTCAGCCTTTTTTACTTTCTCGTGAGCTTAAAATACTTTGACTGCTTATAACCTTCTCTTGCCCTTGAACCGGATTTTAGGTACAGTCTCTAAGACTTCATTCCCTGTGGAGCTTTGATGTGTCATGAATCTATTAGCGGAGACACTTCGATGCGGGCACAGCTTTGATACATGGTATGAGAATGCCTTGATTAACGATTAGCATATTGCTGTGTATCAAAGCTCGAGAGGCAGTGAGCCGTGACTAAGGGCGAGTAAACAAAAACCATCATATATTGTGGTTACCTCAGGGCAGCGTAGATGAGCGACGGTATGTCGTGATCCCAATGTGTACTTCTGACGAGATGCAAAGTTAGAGCTGTAAGCTGGCGTCCTTTATTTTATAGTCAGTGAAGACAGATAAGAGCCACTGTGCCTTGGATTCCTGTGCCAAGACAGGCGATGATAGGCGACTGTATATATTGCAGATCATATTTAAAAGAATCAGTCCCTTCGACTATTGAAATTAATCTTTCCTTTTCACCATGTAACGATGCTGCCGAGCTGGCATAACGGTGACGTACCCACCGTCACTGCGAACACCACTTTGTCATGAACGGAGTCATCAGGGTGTTGCATGGCACCCCTTATTACATTCGGCAGACTTTATGACTGAGATTAAACACTTGCCACTCTGGGATGTTTGCAACGAGGTTTTAGATGATAAAGAGTGCCAAAATGGTGGGTATACTTCAAAGCAGGAGCTGAATCATCACCCATTGTGACTCAGCCCATGATCAAGAAACTTGCAAGGCACTATATGCGAGAAATATTTTGACATTTTCAAGGTGTTCCACAGATTTTCATTATCTTGTGTTGACGGGCCACCCGCAGAACAACAAGGTCGGAAACATTCTATTCACCGTTCTCGGCTTAATCGATAATGACTACCAATGCTCTTGAGAGCCAACAATATTCCTCACACTACGTTGTGTACTCGAGAAGGAATGTTCAGAGAATGTTTATAATCATATCACAGAGACTGCCTCACGCAGCAACGACGCACAATCATCTAGAAATACAGCCGATTAGGCCACGAGGCAGCCTAAGCTTAAATCCGAAGTGATGATATTTCTCCAACAGTTGTGCAGACCTCCTGTGTAGAAAGTGCTTGCAAGCAGTCTCGAAAGTATACATTACCAAGATGGTTGCTTTTATGGACAAGTACGTCATTGGTACCGACAAGATTTCCTTGAGGAATGCATTTTAAAAGACCATACCCCGTGGGCAGCTAACTCGAAGATCAAAGCCACCGTAGGTTGAACAGTATCTGTTTTAAGTAAAAGCAGAATCATTCTATGTGCGACAATTGGCTTTGATGGCCTGTAAAAGTATAGCTCAAACTATGCTGACATGGCGCGGCCCCTCAACACTTTTCACAGAAAAGATGTAGAATAACATTGAGCTTGGCATAAGAAGTGGTTTTGCGGCGGTGATGGAATGTCTCATGAGTGCCTTGATTTTGATTTCATCATATCTCAATTAGCCATTCTATGTCTTCATGACGCTTCAGCCTTTGCCATAGGCTGGGGTACAATACAAGCAAGATTCAATGAGCATTGAATCGTCTTTTCCAGCTTATTGTGGCGGAGAAGACGTACTCAGCTCACGACAAAAGGCTATAAAAAATCAAATTTATGGTACACCTGTTTGTATCAAAGCTATCTGTAATCAATAACGATGATGCGTCATTGCGCACAGTGACGTCGTCACCACCTATCTCGCATGAAATTTAAAGAGTTTATCGTTCTACATTCGAAGTAAGCAAAAGCCAGATCTGCTTGATCGGGTAGCGAATGTGCTTTTGCGACGCCCAAATTTTGAGATGTCGCACGTCGCAATTGTGATGCGACGCATTGACCAGGCGATTTGTTCGACGCATGGGTCAGATGCAGCATGTTTTTTGCTGATGTTTAGGGCGCAAGGAATTTGAAAAAAGGCGGTGTCATTTCATCATAGAATTTGAGCTCACGTTTCACGCTATATTTGCCTGCAATATCGTTATAAGTGGGGGTACAACCAAGCTGTCTCTCTTTAAGATATTTGCCCAACATACATTGCGACAAAAATTGTATTCGACGAAGATTTATGCTTTACCGTGAAGGGTTAGCGACCATTGTTCAAGATGCTTAATATTAGCTGAGGCATTTCCACCGCGGGCCATCCGATATATGATTGAACAGAACGACTTAGAGGGAAGAACCCATATAAAAAATTCCACAGAGCAACCGCAGCGCTGGATTGAAGTGGTCCCTTTCACTAAGCTGACACAAATAACGGAGTTCACGCCTGTATAGGATTTGGACCCCATTCTTTGCCAACGGATTAATAAACACCGTGCTCCCTTCGCGCCACCTCGAAGTGGCTCCGGTTCGGGCTGTCATTAATGGTGACCCACTGATATCAATTCAGCTATTTTTTCTAGCAAATCACGGATATATCCTGACGAAATATGGCGTCATGTGCCGGGTACGCGGTCCAATAGATGACGGTTGTGATTTGTAAATTTAGCATGTAGTTACAAGTACCAGACGGAACACACAAGCATATGTAGAGAGCGGAAACGTATAATTGACCGATGATCACCTATATAGACAATTAATGTTTGCGCTTTTTATGATCGAGTTATAATTACGCAGCATCAAATCGTATACGGTCGTAGTAAGAAAAAAATTAAGATACACTCTCATATTTTCGATGGGTACGTACTTGTTATTTGTTCTTTTGAGTACCACTTTGTGCTATTTGAATAAATGAGTAACGAATACGCTTATATGATGTCAAAAGATCCAAAGATTGTTTGTAGGCCATAGCCACGATATACACATTTGTTTGAGTTTAATCGAAGGGTGTTGATTATCATGGATAAGTTGACGAGAAATTTGAGTTAGGAAAACTAGGTGCATCTGTTTGGAATTATAAGTGACCTCACTGATAGTCCATTTATCGCCTCGCTTCGAGAATGGGTACGGTATGCGGAGCTCACACGGATGTGAGCGCAAATCTTTTGAGCGTGAAGCCGCAGGAAAGCGAAATCAATAATGAGCGACAACGTTTAACACCATTGGGAAGGCGGGGGTGGTGCGAGAGAATTGGTGAGTCACTTTGACCATCCCTATTAAAAGGTTGTAGATGTCAATCCGGTGCTGCATCATTGCATTCTTGGTGGATCCTTGAGCCAGTGCGCTTGGATAGCGCTCTGGCGCAATGGATGCGCGTAGAGCTCACACTTCATGCGTGCGATATATGAAGAATCGCTCTGGGCAATGGTCACATCGAACTTGTGTTTATTATAGATTTAGTAGAAGTTGGAAAGTGATCTGCGGTCAGAATACTATTTGAGAACAGAATGTTTAGAATGGCGATGGCGCGAGACACCAGCGGGTTTACCGTTTTCGTTGGAGAGGATGTCAAAGAATGCGTGCTTTGGAGTCCACCAAATCAACGCATGGGAGATGGCCTAAAAACCATGAGCCCACCCAGTAACAGTACGTTCAGTTGCTCAAATTGCCGAGTGTGTCATCAAGCTTTTGAGCAAGGTAGCATAGATGCACAAATGTGAGAGCATATGTGCCGCATAATTCGAGGCTAGCAGTCACGTGTCCCACTGGCCCCTTCTTTATAGTACATTCACTCCTAGATGTATGGATCATCAACCATGATAGTACTAAAGCATGGCATTCCGACACTGTACTTCAAAGTTCTGCTCGAAGTCCCAGAAAAACAATGTGGTGTGTGCGTGGGGTACGTACTCAGTTACAGATATATTGTGCTCGTGATGGGTGTTCAAGGAGTGAGCAACATTCAAGCACATGGTGATGTATTTGCTTAAGCCACATTTCGAAACGCAAAGACCCATTTCGACAATATATTGTGAGAACAGTTCAAATGTGTATAACCATTCAAGTACTTTCGAGACGCACTCGTCTGTAGACTTTCAAGAAAGCGGTACGCCAATATAAACAATTGCGTCGTCTTAGGTGCGATGAGTAACCTCATATTTGATGCCTCATAAGGATTCACAGTCTACGGGAAATTCTCGCAGAGAATAATGCACTAACCAAATTATGGACTCCTTCGGAACAGTACTGCATAAGTATTGTGCCAATCACTCTGGCATGGCAAGACACATTCTTATCGTCCTCAATCGATGACGAATAGCGTTGGAGGTGGCAGAGAAGCGGATCTTCTAGGCTGCAAAAGAATGCCTCATGTGCACTCTGATGACAACCTGCTAGATCAGGATCGACATAACATACTTCGTCTGTGACATTGTTTTCCGATGGGTAGCGCTTTAATTCAAGTTCCTGAAAAGCTAGTGTCGCTAAGTTGTTGCGTGGCGCAAAATCAAGTCGAAAGAAAACTTTATTTCTACTGCAAAGTATGGCCAAGAAGTCACTCACTATCGAATCCTCGATACCGGCACGGATAATCGCAAAGCTTGCAATACAATAAGTCTGAAATTTATAGGAGCCATATCGGCGTCATAAACGCAAGATCAATAATAGAGACCATGTTGTTTGAGAGCCGCAGTCGCTACACGCTAGTACTTTGAGCATATCCTACACCACGGGATAAACGCCTTCCCTCCAACCATCAGTCCGTAGATAGCATGCTGTGGAAAAATCCTACGTACCATAGCCATATCTCGTCAGAGCTTCTCTGTTATGCGTGGATTATATCTGGAAGAATTAACACAGGCAAAACATATTTGTGAAACGCTTGTAAATGCTTGACTGTATCATCACCGGTTACGTTGTCGCTAATACCGGCAGGATTTGAAATCTTGCTCAAACGGTCTAAATGAACTACAATGCCGGATATTCCATAAGCTTCATTTGAAAGACCCATTTCTAACTTCATGTCATATTATTTCGCACTCTTAGCGCCAAATAAGGTGGCGATGTAAGTCCATCCTTTGATCGTTCCACACGTATGCACAAAGGGATTTACTCAGTCTTGACCACTGATACATGGCGCTCGCGAACAAGTACGACAATTTCTCCTTCGAGGAAGCCGCCCAAAAGATATTGTATGTTTCAGACAAAGTCTAAAGTATAGATATTCGTCACGAGAAACAGCTACACGCATAATTCCACCATGAGCCGCTATGCAATGCAGCAAGCACTGAAGCACGGATAGCGATGAAGACGCGTGAAAATGTGCACCATTAAACGCTATAAAAACGCAAAGACCACGAGCGCAACGTGTGTTGCGTCTGACTCGCATAACCTATTTCGATGTGTATCGTCACTATTGTGACGCTTGGAACATCGTTTATTGTTTGATAGGAAATAACATCAACATTAAACCCATTTGATTCTCAAATGAAAGGTATAGACGGCAAGGACTGATCACAATATTGCCATTCAATGAAAGCTGTGGGCTTTAATGCTTGTGTAAATGAGCTGGATCCGTAAGGACCACAAGGGCATTAGATCCGCTGTGTAGCGATACAAGATAACATATAGCTTATAGTTTCTTGCCTTAGTCTAGGTTATATTTCTTTGCGTCTCCTTGCCGGTAATGTTCAGATACAATAACTCTTTCATGCCCCTGCTAAAGCCAGGATATGCTGAAACAACATGCAAAGGCCAAAGGCAAGCGGAACACATACATTTGTGGTAGGTGATGTTTGCTTTAGCACTGTGAAATAACATACACTTGTTCTGACTAGACTAAGTTGAAACCTTAATTAGCCTCGTTTACAGTCTTTTATACCCACTTTAATATCCCCTCCAAATTGAAAGCGACCTGTGCAGCACAACGCACCTTCTACCAGCGAATGAATATAGCTTTGTTCCAAGCTAAACCTTAGTCAATAGCTGACTCATGGATATTGACAGTACGTGTTCGAGGTGAGAATGGGTAATTGCCTCGACTTAGCAGTTGCGCATAATCCAGCACAGTTTAGCATCGAGCGCCGTTCAGTCTGACGTCAACTCTATGTACATTTGCTTGCACAGCCATAGTCGTGATCGGATTTATTTTTTGTCAGCATGACAACTACGCCTGTCGATAAGCAATCCAATCTCATTGAGCTAGATATCGTTAATTTGTTGTGACCGTCAGCTCCATCCCGCGAGCTCTGTGGTTTCTCACACGGGAGATTTCACTACCACCGTAGCTCAGGGTGATAGCTTGAGGTCAGCCCATGGCCCTCCAACTTCCCGGGCTACTGCCAAGAAGCGCGGAACGCGCGACGACGCGAAGCGTCATGATCGCTCCGATCATAAGCGTCCACGACATTTGGGCAGTCTTGCCGAAGTGGCACCCCAAACTCCCACGAGTTCATGGAGCTTGGGTATCCCCGCCACGGCAAAATATTGGGTTAGACCCTGTTGACGACGTTAACCCACAAGGCGTTCCACGTGGTAGTGAACGCCGCCATTCTCATCGAAAAGAGTCGTCGGCGGGCGATGACAACTTGGTCAATCGTCAGGTGACTCGCGATGCTCTTCAAGCGTTGAAGGACAAAGTCCGTCGTCATTGGCACTCTGTCGAGCATCTTTCCGAAGTTGCCTACCGCTATGCGATAGATACCGAGAGCAGCCTGGAGCACTCTTTGCACAGACTACCTCACGTTGAATATTTAGCGCTCAATCGGAGAGGCTCCTAGCCGTCAAGCAGACGAATACGTCACTTTGTGCAACTGTGGAGTACCTTTGGATGTTGGATACGGAAATTGTTGCACTCCGTTCTCAGAACCTATTGCTGGTTCAGTATTTGGGTGGTCAAGCGTCTTTGCGCGCTGAACTGGGATTAACGCTTCCGCCTTCACTTGCGCTGGATCCCGGTGCGGCTTAAGCAAGCCCACATAAAACACCGGGTGAGTGCGCATCTTTCTCGGAAAGTTCATTGTGTAAGGTTTGAGCTGTATGGACTTGACTGAGCCAGTAACGCTAACACAAGGCCTCGCTTGGCCACGACCTGATCAGGTACACTAAACCCCAAACGGGGTTTTGTCCTAAAGACAACAGAGGCTGCATATGTAGGAAGGTTTTAAACATTAAATTAAACTAGGTCTTCGACCTCAACGTTTTCCAAATTTCTTCTGCTTCTTCCATCTGCACATTCTTTCTGCATGTCTTGGCTTTCAGCCATCGAATCGCGATCATATCGCGATCGTGTCGTGGGATACTCAGTCTGGTAGACAAAAAGTCATCAGCTTTGTCACGGACAGTGAGGGGGTGACATCAGCTAGCCATTCGGCTATTCATCCCCGCCCAAGCCCCGATCTATGGGTGGCGGCGTCAGCGAGACGCGAGGACTTACAAGCCCCTTCACGAAGCGGCGTATAGCCGGTGGATGAATGCACTGCATTGTTCAGAATCAACTCTACGAGTGGCAAAATGGCGCTCCAGCGCTTCGGCGTCTCAGCGCAGACGCTGCGGAGAACGTCTTCAACGACGCGATTCACGCGCTTACAATCGGTCTGCGGATGGTCCGCTGTTAACATAATCAACGTGGTGCCAGCACCCTGAAGATTGTAGACCAATGCGTTTCAGTGAATCGTGGATCTTTGTAAAAGACAATTGACTGCGGGAATTCATGTTGTCGAAAGACACGATCGACAAACAGCGTTGCTGTACCAACACCGTCGATGGTGTCCGAAACTATCATAAAATGAGCCATATTGCTCAAAGGTCCACAAAGACCATCACACCCGTGTTGTGCGCCGAGTCCTTCGGCAGGTCAAACACAATCCAATCTCATACACTGCCAACACCTGGAGGATATCGGTAAACAAGACAGCGGCGCCGCCGCATTCGGAGAGGGTTACACCTTTGACTCGTCTCACACGTGCGCACATATGGGTTCGTCCAATTGTACAGCTTGGGACACCGGTAGTGGCAACTCACAGAGCTGTACGTCACGACCGATATGACCACTGAGTGGGGTCATAGAGGATACGGTATTTTGAATCCTTATTGTGAGGTAGCACAATTTGTGGCGTATCCGTCGAGTTGATGCTACAATACAGCAACCCGTTATTCAACGAATATCGGTGTGACCGTGCGCACAAACGCGCCAACAATTCGTACGAGTTTCCAAACACTTTGCTTCTGATAGCCTGTAGCAGCGCTACACACATACCATCACCCGCGTACGCGGTGCGGATCAAATACGTGACTGACGACGTCACTGTCGTGATATGAGCAAGTTCATAACCTGGTCTGCGTGACAACGCACCAGTCAAAGCATTCTGCTTACCCGGCTTAAACTTCACCTCGAAGCTATATTTTGCAAGGAATGCTAGCCACCTGGCCATCCTCTGCGAGAGGTGAAGCGACTGAGTCGCAGTGCATAATGGCGCATGATCTCTGTAAATCACAAAAAGCTTTGAGTCAAGCAGGTGCACCCTGAACTTGACAACTGCATACTTTGTGCCTTGTCGTAGGCTGGGTAGATCCACTCCGCAGCCTTTAGCTGGCGATGTTCGAACGCGATCATCCGATCTTGCCTCTCAGCGTCTACTTGCAGCATTTCATAGCCGAGAACAAAGTTTAAAATCGTCACAGACGACACTTAAAAGATGGTAAGGGTCTGGCAACGCCAGTATTGGTGCATGAAGGAGGCTGTCTTTGACCCTGCCAAAAGTCTCCCGATGCTCGATTTCCCAGCACCATTTCTAATCCTTCTTAAGGAAATTTGACTATGGCCGTGCCTTTTTTGCAAAATTTGCTCTATACTTGTGCAAGTAGTTGGCGAGGCCAAGCCACGTGCGCAAGGTCTTTTGGTTCCCTGGAGCCGGCCAGTCCACAATGGCTTTGATCTTAGCGGGATCCGCTAGATGGCTACGCTTCTTGATGGAGTACCCTAAAAAGGGATTTTTCCGCGCCGGAGTTGCACTTACTGGCATAAGCATACAGCTTACTTGTACGCATGCACTCAAGCATCGCTCTCAAATGGACGATGTGGTTTTCCTCATCCGTCCTCCCGTATCCGCACGACTGTGGACGGTGAAGTATGTTTGTGCATACGCCCGGTGGGACCTAAACAATTGCGTCTCTAAATGTTGCTGGTGTCTTTGAAAGCCCTTGAGGCATCGTCAGCCACTTCCGAAGCATCCCGTTCGGAGCACTCACAGCTGTCAGCAAAATATCACTCGCACTCTTGAGCAAATGGTCATATCTATCAACCAAGTTGAGTGCGCTTTACTTTGTACAACCAACCATATTGTTCTGGAGAACATCTTTTTTAAGATTTGGCGTCTGTGCCGGAATGGTGACAGCGCTCAAATTAATGTAGACGTGAGCGATACGCCACTCACCATGCGGCTTCTGGACACGAAACGTGGGTGTCAAATGGGGAGAATTTCTCTCATGCATCATTCCTGCGTCGTGCTTCACTCGAAAAACGGTGTCAAAGACGTCAAACTGCTCCTTGGGCAGGAAACTTTGGCGTATCACACAATATTTGACTCCATAGCTGTGTGCTATCGTCTACGGTAGACACACGATGGGTTAGAGTCGACTCGACGCCCTGCGTCTTGCGGATAACATACAGCTTCGCCGTCTCATCGAGACCAGTGGGAACACGCACTCGGCGTCGCCCAGTGTTCCAACTCCCTGCTCCATTAAAGACTTGATGTTAGTAACAACATCCGACGAAGAGCTGCTTTTTTTGCAGTCATCGTCCAGTGGATTACGTGCCACTCCACACACATCTGAAGGGTCTTGCCCACGATGACTCGGACCTCGTCCAACCATGCCACTCGTGGCATGCAGCGACTGCTTCGAAATGTGAGCAGAGCCCAATGGATTTCGTGCCACTCCATGTGCATTGTTGGGGCCTAATCAGCGATGCCTCGGCCCTCGGCCGACCATGCCACTTTGGCATGCAGCGATTTCTTCAATACTTGAGCAGCGCTTAGTGGGCTACGTGTCACTCCACATTCAGCCCACAATCCACGCTCGGGATCCTTGTGCAAAACACCTTTGGTGTTTGACAGCTCGGAGACTGCGATTTCCAGCGTCCCGGTCCAGTGCCCACACCAATAAAGCTTCTGCTTCCTAGCAGAGGTGGGTTCTTGACTCACCATTGCTCCACCAAGAGACGTGCGCGTAGCGCCCAAGATCTTCGACCTCCAACCAATCCATGGCTTATGGGGTTCCAACCATGCCATACCAAGGATAAGGTCGTACCATGCGTCCAAGTCTAAGACTAGACAGCGTTCTACGCTATCAAAGCCTAGGAACTTGACACCGAGGTCCACAGGGACCCTCGGTACAGAGACATAATCCCCCCGCCGCTAACTGAGCAGTGACAACGTCACTCAACCGCGCTTCCAGCGCCTCAGCATACAGCTGACTTCCTTCGATCGTGGAGCGTCAAGCATAATTGCCCGACGCCCATGAATCGATACGACTTCTCAAAACTCTATACAGTCGCTTTTACGACCAGCAAGCTCAGCTTGCATGCACGTTCCGTATTCAAGAGCAGGACCTTTTCGGGGATGGGGCCTGCTGCCCTCTACCTATTTGAGGCACAACAGAACTCAGTTCTCCCCAAGTAGAACACCGCACCTACTGGGTTTTCTCGACTTACCGCGACAAACCAGACTGGTTAGAAGCGGGACGTCGGTTAATCGGGGGACCAGTCCAAGGTGACGGGTGTCTCCACAGACAAAATACCGTCCAGTGTTCAAACGCTGCCTGGCAGCTCGAAACTCTTCCTACTCTTTCTCAGCATGGCTGGGATCCATTGGCTCAGGTCCGCTCGACGAGGTCTAAGGGTGTGCATTACAACCAAGTCGTGCCGACTTGAAATTGAATTCGGCATTCAATGCCACATTTACCGCTTCTTCAAAAGAAGACGAATGGACACGGAAGCCTGGCCGCAGCAGTGCGGAGGCCCTCCATATAGACGATCGCTACGGCCGCCTCGAGGAGTGGATCTGCTGCCATTCCGGCAATTAGAGCTCTTAAATCTTGGACAAAGTCCACCAACTTCTTCTTGCCCTGTCGGGCAGCAAGGAAACGAGATCGCACGCGATATACCTGGTTAGGCGGCAAGAACGCTCGCAAAAGCTGACGATTCAGCTTCTTCTAGGAGGGGAACGACGCTCCAACCGAAGCACCGCACGGTAGTGCCAATTCTCGCGCTTGGCTCCCGAGCTTGGAGATAGCTAGCGCCACGCGCTGTTGCTCGTTCTGGAGCATGGCTGATGCCATATCTCGGCCTCTCTTACCCAGAGCAAGAGATTCTCTCCATCCTTAATCTCGAAGGTCTGAACGCTCACCATGAGCAGCCTGGACGCAGTCGACGCTGACAGCTTCTGCTATAGGTGCTTTAACCGAGCATTTTCATGATTTGAGAACGCCTTTAGGCGCGCACTTATGGCCTCGGTCCCTTGCGCAACGAGGTTCTCCACACCCTCGGGGCCAAGCACGGACATCAGCTTATCAAGCCCGTCCTGCACGCCCTAAGGCAAATAGGAGTATTGCTTCACAGAGGATCAGTCGTAACCACTCAGGCGTAGATTGACCATTATTGCTATCAGTGCAGTGGGGCTGCCGTAGCTCTTCGCTAAGAGGAAGCTAAGCTAAGGTCACCGACCTTACGTTCTTTACAAGAACCAGTACAATTATAGCGGATCGCAATTCGCTACCACCAAGTGTACGTAAAACTTAACCAAGGTAAAGACGCTCTTACGCTCACAATTGAAACTGTATCTAATTGTTTTAGTTGCGGTAGAGCCGCCAATATCTAATACCTTGGATTTTACTAATTAATATAGTAAATACCTAATTGATATATTAAAACCTAACAAATATGCATATCTACTGCACCTTTTTACGGTGTAGCTACACCATTGTGTTATTACACCAACTTCTGGAATCCACACCTACAAAAGTACGGTCACACTTACAAGGTTACGTGTAACCCCGTTACAGATTGCTTGCGATTTGTGGCCGGTACGTTATGTGACCCCAGTAGCGCTAATTCTATCGGTGGGAGTAACGGGAACCTACCTACCTGTATACTGAACGAACACATTACACTTCGATAGTCGAAGAACACGTATGAGAGATAACAATACAAAAGCATTGCGTATCGCTTCAGAAGTCCCTCTACGTTTGCGTAAATGAAATGAAAGTTCCTAGTTTCTAGGCGTTTTCTCGTAAGTCTCTTTCAGTAAAGCGTGATCAAGCACCTGGACCAGCCTTATCAGGCATTAAATGACCCGCGACATCTATCACTCATGACTATTTTCGCGCGACCTCGTAGATTAGAGTCGGATAGCGCTACGCACTGTCTCAGTTTGGAGTGGGGCCGAATATACGGCCATTTCAACCTCTCGTATCGAGAGGATGATTTTATACGTCGTTGCTCTTAAGGGCTTAGCACTTGTCAGACGTTACAGAGCTCTGTATGGGCTATCTTGGGTACGTTCCACCATCGCGTTCTCGTAGTCAGGCAAATGTAGCTGCTTTCAGGCTCTGAGCTGCCAGTCTTGTTATCTCGTCGGAACCAAGTAAGACTTAGTAGTCTTTTCATTATCTTGTCAGATAGGTGATCAAAACATGTTTCATTGCTATGGAGTATACAATCTTCTAGATTCAGTCGCATGATTGAAGACAAATGCTTCTGTACAAAAGGGGTTAACGTAAATTCTTGCACAGTATTAGATTCTGACTTTTAGTATAAATGCACAAAGGACGCTGTCCCATGAAATCCTTGTGCTGAACTCTGGCTTAGTTCAAAGAATGTCTGGCTGAATTCGATATCCAGCATATACATTCTATTAATTAGGAGCTGCGTATTCTACGACCTCTCTTACCATCTTTTTGATATCATACAGTGGTGTATGATATCATACTATAAGAACGTCCGATAGGTAATTATTGTTGTCAATACGTCGGGAAACTGTTGGCAACGTCTCATGTAAGCAGCCCTTGGAGTCTTTGAAGTGATCTCTTCCACAAAAGACAATAAATCATGCTATACGCAGCAATCTGAAAAAAATATCTGCTAATATCAAAACAAACTGCACGCCAAAGCAGCAGAAATCTGTGGCAAAGACTACAAGGAGTTGAGGCTTGAATGACGGCGACCACCAACTAAAGCATTTGACGCTGCCTATCTACCAAATGTACATAATCGATTAGATGGTGCTTACCTCTAGCTTTAAAGCTCGAAACTTCACATCTCATCAACACCATAACCATAAAGTATGCATTGTGTCATCTTAAAGTGTCTTCATCCTGTATCAGCACAATCTTTTCGTGGTGTCTCTTCGTTAAAAAGTATCGCCTAGTTTCAAGTTAATGGTCACAATTCTTCCAATTTTTCCATTCAAATACCATTCAGAAACGAGGTGTTGTTGCAAGACGCATATTGATTTCCAAACTAAGTCTTCTATGGTTGTGCAGAGCGCATGATCAAAGCGAATTGCCTTCCTGTTTCCGTGCACGGCGACAACACCACTCCTCTTCGCTATGACTAATCTTTTATTAAGTAACGTTGCTTACTACCAATGTTTCTGGCATACATGTCCCATGTCGTTAGTCAGCAACGTGTCTTCTACTCACGACTTTTCTGCACAGCCTTCTTTTCGCTTAAATATTTCACATTACAAATCCTTACTTTAAACCTCTGCAATCTTTGCGACGTACAGAATTGTGTAGCATCATTGTCATGGTCTATTGTTGGAGATTTAAAGAGTGCCGGGAAGAAGGAAGAGCTTGATATGGACTAGAGTGATTCAAGCTTGCGAGAAGAATATACTAGTTACAGCTGTCTACTCGCGCAATCGTAAGTCCACTATGCATTGAATGGTGACGCTGGAATGAAGCATTTTTGGTCACTTTTTGTGATAGATTGCTAATGAACGTGAGCCATAAGCCACTGAAGCATAGAAAAAGTCTCATTTTAATCCTAACGACAGATGACATCCCACTCCAGGAAACTGTGTTTAAGCTTAGTGAGTGGCTCTAAGCAAACGTTCGTTTGTCCTTCCATCTCTTGAATCTGAACTCTACAGCACTGTAAAAGTCGCAGAGTTCATAACGCATGTGCAGCAACTTAATAGATCAAGACACCAGACGTTCTCATAATCCATGTATCGAGCTAGTAGATAGCAACCCATTCAAAAGAGCCTGATGGTGAATCTGAGCAATCGAAAGATAAAAGCCAGACTGGTTTACAGACACACACATAATCCAGACTGACAACTAATAAAAGAAATCGATTTGATGACTGCAGAATTAGCAAACATCCCAGCTTGGACAGCAATCATAGATGCTTGTTCAATCACGTTACGCGGAGAAAGTCAAAATTTCTTGTAAATACTAGCTAGGAAGCAGCTTTGGGCAAAACCAAGACGCTATGAGTCAGAAGCTGGATATGTAGCTTGAGAAACATACTTTTGAGCACAGCCTGTAGGACGATTTCTGTTCTAGATTATTTATTTATGTTACTCATATCGAATTTTGGAACTTCAACTCTCATTGTGGAATCGAGATATAGTGTAGTAGTATTGTTATCATATCGTCAGATCTATTACGTAATCATATTTTGAAACTAAGAAACCGAACATGACTACTATTCTAGTCTCAGTAATAGACATGTGAAATTTCTTAAGCTGATTTAAATTTTATAAACGAGTACTTATAAATTTTTATGAAACAAAGATCCAGCAGATAAATTCTTAGAGTATGCATTATTCGATGTGTCGTTTTCAATCCGGCATTTTTCCATCCGACGACAAATACAGATGAAGGATTGTCGACGACGACGTTCAACATTTATGTTGCGCTACGCTGTCGCTATCCACTCCAATACCAATTACCACTCCAACGCCTCTACGTTTCTTCAAGAATGATATCACTAGCCCCTCGTCTTTACTCAAGTCGTAAGTGTCCCCCCATCCTCTGAGCATCAAGCGTCACATCTGACCCTTAACTTAAATTGAAGATCAGATCACAATGATCGGGTCGCGTATATATGAAAATCACAGCCTGCTGTTTCTTTGAATCCCTTCTGGTGCACAAACGAACGTAGCGTCAGTCGTATTGATGCCTTAAAAAGCTGCCACCATTAAAAGAACTCTCATTTTTCAACTTCTTTTCTACTGCTGAAATTGGTTCCACGCTTTTTACTATGCGACTTGTGTGGGTTTTTAAACTCGGCATCTTCGCCTTCGTCTCAAGATTGATAACTAGTCAGACGTGTGGACCACGTCGACGCAAAGATTGGGACATGATGACGCCGATTGAGAAGAGCACATACCAAGGTTCTGTTGCTGCTGCAATGAAATCGGGTGAATACGTCAAGTTTATCGAAATGCATACGGAAATGATGTCAGAACGAGAAGCACATCGTCAATGTATGTTCATCTACTGGCATCGATTTCTGTTAGTGGCGTTTGAAAATATGCTACGTGGTCAAGGTCCCGAATTTGCTTGTGTCACGGTACCTTACTTCAATTGGGTTTCCGGTAATGCAAAGCTTACTGCAGGAGCTTGTACATCATTGGGCGATTGTCACACAATCACTAGCGAATTGGGCGGATGGACGAATGGCACAAGACGTACGATCGCCATTAACGGGGTCAACGCTACCGGTCGCTGTATTACCTCCCCACCTTATGATCAATTCTGTGAATCCTTGTCAACTAAGGGCACTGCTTGTGCCAGATGTATTCCCCGTAGTAATTGGGGTATTGTCCAGATACCTGCAACGACGGGGTACGCATCAGTGCGTAACCAAGTCCTAACTGGTAAGAATATTGGTCAAATGTCACCAATTATTGAAGAAGGCTGCCACAATAATATTCACGCAAATATGTTGAGCACGATGACTACATTTGCTGCTCCAGCTGAGATACTCTTTTGGTCCCACCATGCTATGATTGACTTGCTACATGTGATTTTCCACAAATGCCGCGTGGGGACAGATCGAATGACATTTGCACAGAAAGCTTCACATTCTGTGGCTTGGACATCATGTGCACGTCGTGAATCTAACGTTACATTTCAACCGACAGATGTCGTGACGATGCGAACGGGTGAAAGGGGTATCAATCCTATTAGTGCACTATCAGATCCTCTCGTCGGTCGGTATTTTGCGGGAGTACCGAACCAATTCGCTGGTTTAATGGATATTCGTGACTTAGGCGCGAGCAGTTATGGTTACAGTATCAATGGCCAGTTGGCTTCCATATATAATAAATGTGACGGATCTCCAGTATCTCGAAGACTAAAAGAAGCCAACACAACAACATCTAAACCCAAAATGTGCGGTATGGCTGACGAAAGCAATGATTATGGGTCCCATAACAACTTTCCAGAAACTGACTATACCGGTGTTGATGATGGCTTTCAAGATGTTGTGATTGTTAGTAACTCGGGCAAACCGGTGGATGAGAACACCCCTAAAGAAGAATATATCTCAGACCCTTCCGAGTTAAAAGTTGCGAATTGGTACGATCAGACAGTTGAGGCCATGGGTGGTGATACACAAGAGACTATGGACGATCTGGAACGACAAGCGTGCATGTTTGAGCATGTTTGCATGGGTGGTACCAAGGACTATACAGAAGAATTCAAGATCACTTGGAAAGCAAAAGTGCCACGATGTAAGGCAATTGTTGATGCTATCATCAACGGCTCGCAATCGATTCAGTACAAAGCTTGGCGTGACGACATGGAGGCTGTTTTTGGTTGTCCGGAGCCGACCGAGACGAGCAAGACGGGAATCTCGAATGCTTATGAGTCTAACTCGCCGTATTCTTGATATACTTTGAAGAACGACAAGATCCGTGTCTCCGATGTCGTGTAGAGTCGAGCAGCGTGACGACCTGGGATGATAAAACGCTTGTGCTTAAATCTTTGGAGTGATTGGATTGGTCTAAGGTGCGTGGGACGCTAGCCGTAGTGACAACACAGCACATGTTAATACATTGATTTTTAGTAAAAAACCACCTCAATCGCACCTTCAAACGGTTCCCGCATCGGACTATTTACCACACCTATCTAAGGTAAAGCTTGATAAAGCGTCTGAACAATTTCAGGTGATTTAACTAGACAGATATGAAGGAACATACATCACACGCCAATCGATATCAGTCGATGGATGTACGCACCTAAGTACATTGCAGCAGCAATAGCTTCTCGGTTCGTACTCTCTTCTTTTGACGTCAACATGCTAAAGTCTTGCGTCAACTTAATCCACAGGGATGATTGGTGACAAGTTGAAAAATGGGAATTCTTCAAACGCTGGCACTGACGTTAGATTCGCGTAGAGGACACGACAGTCTTAATATCCGTTTGTTTGCCAGTAGTAATATTTGATATCACATGCTAACACGATTGTATCATCAAATATTAGACATGGTCTGAGTCGAAAGTAGAAGCTATTGATAGATTTCTTTGAGGACAGGCTAGAACTAGTGGTCATTCGTAATGGATCACTTCGCAGCAGCGTAAACAACGTGAAACTTCATGGTTAACTAATAACATTTCGTCGGTTGTGAAACATGCAGAATGGAGAGTGACCCATCGCCTCGAAACTTGAAATTAATTTTGAGAATCTCGAATCTCGGTTGCTTCGTACCACAATGACCACGTTATGCTCGAAACGATTCTGTCGTCTTTCTTGAGGAAAGGCCTTATAGAAACAAAATTTACACCTGATGCTTTGACTGACTCTGTACTAAACCCTTGTCATATGACGCATTGTAAAGAAAGAGGAATGCTATTTCGTGTCGTAAAAACATGCTTCACACTCTAATCTTCATCATATGATGACCTAATATTCAAGTCTATAGAAAGAAGTGATCTCATCTTTGTTTCTGACTATATGGTAACGATCTTACAACGCTCTGTCCAGACTTCAATTGCTATGTTGAAGCTCCAAATTTCCATCTTGTTTAGAGAGAGAAATATTAACTCCCTATAGTCTTATCATCATTACAGCAGAAACTTATCTGGATCGTGTTCGTAATCGTCTTGCAATTGCCGAAAATCTTTGCACTGGCGTATTGTTTCTACGGCTACATATCACACTATCAAGTGACGAATTCTTTGTGTCCTGCCTTTACTGTGACCAGACCAGCTGATTGAATTTCCTGACTAGTGCTTTTACAAGTGCTCTGACTTTTCCGCATGGTTTTTCAAATATGATTGTGTGCTTTCTATTCGTCATTCTATAGATATCGCTGAAAGAATCCACCAACATTGTTGCGACACGGTAAAGAAATTGCTATCAATCACCTAACTTTTAAGCTGGTATCGTTCAGTATTTGTGACGATGTCATGACACTTGTAAAGCAGCAATTGTGAAGCAGCTGAGAAGCACATCAAACACTGCTATGGCTAGAACGGTCCGAAAAAGACATGAAGGAATCATCACTTTAAGCAGGATAGAAACAACATATTTAAACACAACACTTCAGACAATAAGCACACGGTCCCGATAAGTTTGTTGTTGCAACAGGATTGTAGGGTGTTGCAGTTTCTCTTTCGAATAGACGATAAGTTTGTTGCTGCAACAGGATTGCAGGGTGTTGCAGTTTCTCTTTCGAATAGAATATGGAGGCTTGGAGTCGACATTTTAAACAGAACTTTGATACCTCGTTGTCATATATTCAGAACAGGAAACTGCATTTATCGATGCCTGTGACTAAAGTTATGCGCTGAAATTTAAGTGAGATCATTTTTTCTATGTTCTTGAAATTGAGCCATCATTTGGTATAGATATGAGCGAGAGGCGTGTAATTACGTCACTTGTATCCTTCCCAGTTCTTCTTAGAGCTTAAAAGTCAAAGCTATCGGGGTGTACATTGTTTCTATAAAGCCTTTCCTTAAGAAAGACGACAATATCGTTTTGATGAAGCTTAAGCATAACGTACGTTTCGTGTTTTACAGTCAGTCATGCATAGAGCAATTGAGTTTTTTTAAACTGATTTAAATTTCCATAGGGGCTACATGGACGAATCAAAACATGTGACAAAATGATATTCTTATTATAGGAGTACGCATCATGGGATTTGTCGTCAGAAAGCACTCTCGACTCGACTCTGCATGTTTCACAACTGACAAAAATGTAGATGAAAGATCTTAAACTACGATGCTGAACGTTTTCCGTTGTGCTATGTAATTGCCAACTGATCCATTACGAGTGACCCCTTCAAAATTTCTTAATCTTGCAGTCTGTCCTCCCCAAAAAAATCCTTCTCGCCTTTACCCAAGTTGTAGAGGTCCCCTTCTCAGAACATCGAGGGCCACATCTTAAACTTCATAATAATTGAGGATGGCTGGATTGTACATGCTCAAGTATCTGTATCTAGTGGGTACTCGAAATCACTGCCAGCTGATTCTTTGAATCACTACTGGCTAACAGACGGACGTTACAACAGTCGTGCCGTGCCCTCTACGTTTTTATGCTTTAATCTGCTACCAGTGCTAGCGTCCAGAAGGATTCTCATTTTTCAACTTCTTTCCAACTGCCGGAATAAGTTCCCAGTTCTTTCAAAGTACACGCTTTCTACCATGCGACTTGTATGGATTTTAAATGTCGGCATCTTTGCCTTCATTTCGAGATTGGTTACTAGTCAAACATGTGGACCACGTCTACGCAAAGATTGGGACATGCTGACTGCGAGTGAAAAGAGCACATATCGAGGTGCTATTGCTGCTGCAATGAACTCGGGAGCGTACATTAAATTTGTTGAAATGCATACTGAAATGATGTCAGAGCGAGAAGCACATCGACAATGTATGTTCATCTACTGGCATCGATTATTGCTTGTGGCGTTTGAAAATATGCTACGTGGTCAAGGTCCAGCATTTGCTTGTGTCACGGTACCTTACTTCAATTGGGTTGCCGGTAGTTCACGAGCTACTTCAGGAGCTTGTACATCTGTGGGTTCTTGTCTTGCAATCGCTCGTGAATTGGGTGGATGGACAAGCGGCGTACAACGTACGATATCCATAAACGGGGTCATCAACTCCGGACGCTGTATTAACGTCTCACCTTTGGATCAATTCTGTCAATCTTCGTCATCCACGGGTACTACTTGTGCCAGATGTGTTCCTCGTAGTGATTGGGGTACTGTCCGTATACCTTCATCGGCGGGATACGCAGCAGTGCGTAATCAGGTCTTCAGTGGTATAAACATTGGTCAAATGTCGCCATTGATTGAACAAGGTTGTCACAATAATATTCATGCGAATCTTGCAAGTACGATGGGTACATTTGCTGCTCCAGCTGATCCAGCCTTTTGGTCCCATCATGCTATGGTTGACTTGCTACATGTGATTTTCCACAAATGTCGTGTGGGGACAGCTCGATTGACATTTGCGCAAAAAGCTTCGCATCCCGTGGCTTGGACATCTTGTGCACGTCGTGATTCGAACATTCCATTTCAACCAACAGATGTCGTGACAATGCGAACAGGTGAAAGGGGTATCAATCCTATTAGTGCACTATCTGATCCTCTCGTCGGTCGATACTTTGCGGGAGTACCGAACCAATTCGCTGGTTTAATGGATACGCGTGACTTAGGCACGAGCAGTTATGGTTACAGTATCAGTGGCCAAGTAGCGACTATGTATACCCAATGTGACTCATCTCCAACATCGCGAAGACTAAGAGAAACCAACACAACAACACCAAAACCCAAAATGTGCGGTATGGCTGATGAAAGCATTGATTATGCGTCCCAAAACAACTTTCCAGAAACTGACTATACGGGTGTTGATGATGGCCATCAAGATGTTGTGATTGTTGGTTGTAAAACGGGCAAACCGGTGGATGAGAACACCCCTAAAGAAGATTATATTTCGGATCCTGCTGAGTTAAAAGTTGTCAATTGGTACGATCAAACAGTAGAAGCCATGGGTGGTGATACACAAGAGAATATGGACGATTTGGAACGGCAAGCGTGCATGTTTGAGCATATTTGCTTGGGTGGTACAAAGGACTATACACCAGAGTTTAAGGCCATGTGGAAACCAAAAGAACCGCGGTGTAAGGCTATTGTTGACGCTGTCATCAATGGTTCACAGTCAATTCAATACGAAGCTTGGCTTGAGGACATGGAGTCTGTCTTTGGTTGCCCAGAGCCGACCAAAACAAACACGACGGGTTCCTGGAGTTCTTCAGGAAGTTTTGACGACAGTTTGGACTCTGCGAACGACACAATTCATTTTCCAGATGTCTTGGAGCCGGGCAGCGTCACGACTTGGGATGATTAGACACCTTCGCTTAAATTATCAAAAACTTTTTTGTTTGTTTTGGTCAGAGGTGGGATTGATAATAGTATGATATGAGTTGTGTAAACTTCTGATAAAACTACTAGAATTTTAGTTAATCCTTTTGGAAATGATTACCTGCTAAATGATATATTGGGTTAGAACACAAAGCAAACTAAATAGAGCGAATTATGGACGAAGATGTAATACTACCGATATATCTAATTGATTGGCTGGTAAGACAATTGAAAAGTTTAATTAACTAAAATATTATAACTATAATAATTATGGCAAGTATCGATTACTACCGGTACCGCACAAAATCAGTTTTGGTAGTAAGTGACACCGGTACTAAGTACTCAGCTCTCATTGAGATCATTTTCAATGTATGTTCCATGGCCCAAGTATCAGACGAAAATTTGCATGTCGCTTGATGAAAGTGTCAGCTTCGGTTAGGCGGCGAACGGATGGCGGAGCAATCGTTATGTACAGGAGTAGAAAGTAGTCAAAAGTCAATTTGTCATGTAATATAGAGGATTGACTGACGAGTATTTCGACAAAATTTATCCACCAATATACTCTCTCCCTTACATTGTAGCACCGGCTCTTCGTCTTAGGTTTAACCCGAAACCCACGACAAGTTCAGACAAAGAGCTGGTGCTAACAATTTTTGTTCTCCAAGTCAACAAAATCTACAAATACTTAATGAACTTTACTTTAGTTTAGTATATTCTCCAGAGACAAAAATGTTCTACAAAACTAGTGAAGTGCATATAACAGCTTTACAATAAAGATAGGTCTGTACGATTTTATACTCAACTAATTTGAATATTGCTACTAATGATTCATATCGAGATTGTAGTGTAGCCCTGAGTACCTGACAAATGTCATGCTGGTACGGAGATACGGAGATTCTAAAATTTGGTATCGGTACGATACTCTTTATACCTTGATCAATATACTGGTATTTTGTCTTGCAAAAAATATCTAGAAAACGTTTTTGGTATTTTGGTAAACGTTCTACAAGCAAATGTTCTATATTTCCTTCAGTGATGTGACTGATTTTTCTGGTAGTACGTACCCAAAAGTTTTGCTTCCTAAAAATGTTAAGTACGGTTCAGCGTGAGTGCCGTATTGTGCAATAAAATTGCGTCCATCCCAATACTCTTGTCGTGCCCAGCCTGCTAATTGCGTACATCGGAGCAATAAATGGCCATCGTCGTCAGTCACAGTATCAACACGACAGACAAGATGCGCCACACAGTCACTTAGTGCAATACTTTGAGCAACAGCTTCAGTCACTTCTTGTCGCATTAGATCTTTTTTTGAGACTTTTTGCTTGAGTGAATGTCCTATTTTAGTGGCAGATGTTGCTGGTCCTTCCAATGGACCACCTCCTGGTGCACAAAGAGCTACGTTAAGTTGCTCAAACTTATCCCCGTCCGCACTTGAAGTGCCACCAATGGCAAGAATTAGCTCTTCCATTCCCCGCACTGGGACATTAAGCACTGAAAAAGACAAATGAAATGTCAATGAACACTCGAGTAAAATGTGACATAAACAACCAACCAAAGACAGCACCCATTTTTTTCAATAATATTGCTGTATTGCGCGTTGTATGAACAGAACAAATGAATTTCCCCTTGATGCAACTCGCTTATCAGATACCCAAAGTGGTGAGATCAAAGATGGCGCACCTGATTATTAATCGCCGTGAGCCAACTAATTGTCATCAGACTACGTATACGATGATCTAGACTACACACTGAGAGCAAACACACTGGATTTGGGTACAGCAAACGTGAGAGCATGCCTTTGTTTACAGCAACCCAGTCTGTCATAACTTTTTGATTCTTTTTTACTGGCTATTAACCAATTGAAACTCCCAATGCGTACTTAATTGAAACTACGTGCCCCCTTGCCACCGAGAATCAGATCAGAAAGACTTTTAACGTACGCAATTCCTTTCTTCATCATGGGTCATGGAAAGAAGAAAGTGGCAAGTATGGTATACTATGAGATCATGGGTATTGAATCCGATGCAACAGCAGAACAGATAAAGAAAGCGTATCGTAAGAAAGCACTCCAACTTCATCCGGATAAACGTGGGAACACACCTGAGTCTCAAGAAGAATTTACACGAATGAAACAAGCGTATGATGTATTATCAGATCCCCAAAAGCGTGAGATATACGATCAGTACGTTGGTTAATTGTTTGTATTGTGTCCACTTGTGTTCATGTTATTGTGGTATATATATTGCTAGAGTTGGCGAAGATGGAATTAAACTTATGGAAGACTATGGTAGCATGAGTCCCGAACAAATGTCCATGTTACTCTTTCGTTCAATGGGTGCATTTGGTACAAAAGGAAAATGTGTTCTTATCTTGCTTGTAGCGTTGATATTTGGCCTTATGCTGATGATTCCAAGTACGTTGTCATGTTATTGTATCAATTATTATTGTAAAATTGACCAAACTTGTATATATTATAGTCTTTTGGTGTCTTCGAGCTGATAGTAGTATTTCATGGAATTGGGCAGTGGTATGTATTCCATTATGGATTGTGAATAGCTTTTATTATTGTTGTTTGGGTTCAATCCTCGCGACGGCTGATACTAGTGAAGACACGGAAGAAAAACAAAAGAAACAAACACTTGTTTACAAGTTTTACGCATTCTTTAAAGCGCTATTATTATTGGTGTTACAAATTTTTCTCGCTTTGAAACTCAATCAAGATGTCAACTGGACACTTTTACAAGTTTTCATTCCATATTTTGGATATGATGGATTAAATTTACTTGAAACAATAGCAAGTGGATACTTGGGGTATCAAATGCTTACGAAAACTAGTGAAGGTGCTGGAGTATCTCAAACTGAAACCATTACAAAACAACGTTCGGCATTGGTTGTCGCAGTCTTTCGAAAAATACTTTTAAACATTGCTCGGATTGTACAAGTTATTTTGCTTGGACTTAAAGTCGATGAAGAGTTAGATGATACAAGTTGGTGGCTTATCTTTCTTCCAATTTGGCTTTATCTTGTATATTTTGGATCGTATCCAATTCGAAAATATTTACGTGCGAAAGCCAAAGCTAAAGAACCCAAGATTCAATCACCTCAACAACATTCTCATGATGCATATACTCGTGAGTCAGTAAAGAACGATGAAGATGAAGTTACGTCAAAGTATCCACTTGTCGATGCGTTGTGTACGCTTTCAGTCATTGGAATACTTAGTTCACCTGTTTTTATCTTGTCGGCAAGACTACAGAATGAGTCATTTTCAACTATTTACATCCTTTTACCATGGCTTATCTTGGTAAGTCAAAACAAAATTAATGACATGTTCAAATGTGTAGTCATTGTTCATGATTTTTCATGGGTTTTTTTATTTATTTAGGTTGGTCTTGTATTTTGTATCATTTGCTGTGCTATCTCATGCTTTAGTTTTCAAGATCCAGACACCAATCAAGAACCTGAAGAGACTACAACAAAGAATGCACAAAGTTTTTCATCAGCTGAAGAAGGTCGAGCAGATTATGTTTCCGTGGATATGGATTAGAACAGTCAAAATCAGGTTTTAGTATATTTTCAAAACCGATAATTCAAATTTGAAAATCTAGTTAACATCTAGAAATTTAAATTTGGATGCAAAAAAAAAATAGATTTCTAAACTTCGCGAATCTATTCAAACACCTGATGGATCGATACTGTTTTCTAGATCAATTGATCGTTCATCTCATTAGCGTCATAGTCATCAATCTACTTTCATTCAAACGTATTGTGTTCACTTAAGACTCAACAATTTAACGTTTCCATGTAGTCATACATCCATCTTGAGGACAAAATGTTGGATGTCGCACCAATTTCTTACCAACTGCATTTCCTTTTTTCAAAAGAAAAATGAATCCACAACAACATAAGACCAATGTAAGTAAAATTGATCGAAACAAACGATCAAAACTCGAGTTTGAAGCACCATTTCGACTTGTTTCAACAAGATAGAAAATGAAAATCATTCCGGATACTTTTAAACCCATTGACTCGATTGTTTCATGTTGAATTTGAAATGGTGAAGGTTTACTACGTGAGACTGTATAACGTCCGAGTAGTAGATCCAAAACATCTTGTCGATATCCATCAAAAAAGTTATTGCGAATATATCGAACACAAGAATTGTATCCATCCAAGAATGCACCTTTCTTCGTACGTATCCCTGTGCGTGTAAAGTCCGTTTTCAATGCTCCCGTACCAGCATATAAACGGCTAATTGCATCTCCATTATTGCCCCAAATACGTTTAAATGTACATTCAAACTCGTGAAATGGAGAAATTAAAACATTTCCTTGTAAAGCTTCCAATTCATTCAATTGCAGTAATATATTCCGTCGTCCAAAAAGTGACTAGATTTCAAAAATGTACATAGTATTAATTGAATGATTCAATTGATCATCTCATACATACAAACATACCTGCACGACATTTGTACGATCAAGATTGTCCATACAATTTGTACGTACAACACCTGATTGTTTACTTACAATATCTCCATTGCCATTCATACAGAAATATCTACAAGAAAAATAGAAATCGATAAATCATTTCTATCTCATATCTCATCAATATTCTCTTACCCATGATCAAGAAAATCATCATCAACTTTTTTAATTAATTTTTCCAAATTCTTCCATTTCATTTGACGACATTCATAATGAAAATCAAACCATACAAGACGCACACTTGCAAGTAAATGTGAATCTCGTGAAGCTGTTTCTGCTAAAACTTTTGCCATCGTTTCACCAAGTTTTAATTGTTCTTTTTTCTTTTCAATAAGATTCACAAACAAAACACGACCATAGAATTTCATTAATTCATCAGCATGTTTTTGAAATGCTATGACATTTTGTTCAAACTCATCACATTGATATACTTTGGGGGCATATTTCATTGTAACAGGAGAAGTCCAAAATATTGGAATTGAACCACGAAGTTGAACAAAAGACGTTTGTCGACCATCAGCAAACAAAAAAATTTGTTCACTTTCAACAAAATTTGCAACATTTCCATCTTGATCAATTCCACGCATTGTAAATCGCATTCCTTGTCGTTTACAAGATCGTCGAGAGATATACAAAAGACGAAATGAATGACTTTGAACTTGAAGTACTTCACTCATTTCGATATATGCTTGTACCATTGGTGTAATCCATTCGTACAATTTTTGATCTAAGTGAGTACAAATGAGATTAATTCATGTACCACTAAGATGTCAAAACCTATTAAAAAACATTGTACCAAGAAAGATGGAACATACGGCTTTGTTCCAAAAAAAACGATCATCGGCACGTTCAGCAATGTTGCCACTTTTGCCATTAAATGTTGCAATTCCTACAATATTAAAACGAAGAGTCAGGATAAGTAATTTTTGACATATTAGATATATTACGTACGTTGTAATGTATGAGTGAGATCAAAATCAGTACAAAAATGCAATTGTTGTATTGCAATATCTTTTGTAAGCATCTTGATGTACGTACATTCATCCATTTCTTGTTGAGATGTTAAAATTGGTAGATCCTGTGTCGGGATGAGCAATAATTCGAGTTTCTGAACGACACGAATCTCCACATCATTCACACCTCGAGCCACTACTTTTGATTGGGTTACGACAGCTAAATACGGTCCCCGTAGTAGCCAATATACACCATAAATTGCATCAAAAACCATACGGCGACCATGGACATGCTGAAAAGTCTTGAGATGTTCGACATTTAGTCCCAGTGACGAATCAACGGATGATGTACGAGAGATCTGAAGTTTAAGTGGATGTATAGGATGTAAAAGTACAAGAACATCGTCTTGTACTACCAGCTCATATTGCTTCTTCTTCTCTGCGATCGGCATCGTATTTCGAAGAGGCGGTACGTGGTACTACAATATTATTGTGTTGTGAGATTGCAAAAGTCACTGAATTGCTCATGTTGCTAGAACAAAATACGGTAGCTGGTGCAACATTCAAACAACACTTTCTGGATAAAGTAACATACTCAACTATCTTGTAGACATACACAGAATATTTTCCGGGTTATACAAACTTCAACTCGCACTTTTGGGTAATTAATATATTTCTATTGCGTCATACCGTAAAGCGTACATACTGAGTGAAAGTATAGATTGCAACTTGGCATTGCAGAGCTAACTGAAAAACTAGATATTTTTCGGGCTCTCCGTCCTAGTTAACGCGTACATACACAACCAACGAACTTGACAACATGAAATGTTCATTTCTTAGCTTTTTCTATGCAAAGTGCGCGGTAGCCTCGATGCACTTGGTTCACTTGCACAATCAAAATTGACAAATCTGTATTCCCTGAGGACGGACCATTAAATGATACCTGTTCTCAATAGAACCAGATCAGCTTCGTGGGCTTGTGGTTCTTGTTGTAGCCGAGGCCGGATGCGGTCTTTGCTCGCTTGGAGTCGGGGACCAGCTGATAACATGCGCTGATGAGACACCTTGGAAGCGCCTCGATCTTGCGACGGTAGGACAAGAGACATGACCAACCGAGAGAATGCAGATATTGAAAGCCCAGTCCTTTGTGAATCGGGAAAGAGAAATATTTCTTCAGGGCAAGGAAAGAAGGATGGTCCTGAGTTTGGGCACACTTTAAACGGAGTACCTGTGCGTCGCACCTGCGAATTCCTGGCTAAGAAGACGCGCATGAGAATGGGTCCGATCGTACAGTCTTTAAGCAAAAGATGGGCGTCTATCTTCATCGACTTGTGTTTCCGCGCAAGTATCCTAGAGCGATGATTTCTCTCGATCTATAAGAGCTTATTTCGGAGGTAGTGAAATGAACCTTGGTCTACTCCATTCACTCTATTTACGTGCCCATGATGTTTCACTGCTTTGCAAGATGTGCTGACTCAGCAGTCCCGCCGCGTCAAGACACTGATGAGCTAAGGCCTGGTCATTCTCTTCACGAATTTCAGTCGCCTTTCACCCCCCCCAAAGTCTGACAGGATTGCGCAACCCAGTTGCTGCCACTATCTGTCGTTCGTTACAAAGGAGACGACAATTCACAGTTTGCTTTACCCTGCCCGACATAAACACTGGCAATCACGACACATTAGAGATCGCGATGCATAATTTATGTTTACCGTCTCTACCCGAATCCTCGACGTACTACCGCTTCTGTTTTTCAAGCTCATCTTGAGGCAGCTATTGCTAACTATGCCTGGGAGGTTTTGCAGCATCATGCCCGAGCTTAAAGGGCATATGTTATTTAGCAGAGGCGAGCTAACGGCTCTCCGATTCGCTTTCAGGCACCTAGCTTTATTGGACCCATGGCTCGTCGACTCTTAAGTAGGATGAAGTCATATCTTGAGCTCAGGTATGTGGTCAAAAACTCGTTGTCATGTCAGAATCCTCGATCTCACATAAGAGGTGTAACGAAAACTTCGACACTACTCACACGGACATCGTATCCGTGTCTGGTTATTTCATTGCTTGTGCGAAAATCAAAAGTGTGTGTGTGATTGCACATGGATCCTTATCGAGCAGGAATTATTACGGCTCGACGAAGCGAGAGCATTCCCATTGATCACGACTTCCACGGAGTACAATAAACCTCGGTCTCTTTTCAGTTGGCCGCCATGCAATTATCAACGCTCGATGTCTTCCCGCAGTGATTTAGCTATACGACCTTGCGATGGGTCTAAGCTTTTCAAACAACTCAGTCGAACGCAAAGAAAGCACATCAGGTACAAGTGTTTTACACTCAAACAGTAGATTCATTTGCAGCGGTGAAGAGCCTCTCACTACCTTATCAGCATACTAAGATCCATCGCCTGTAGCTTGTTCGTCGAGCTTATATTTTTGGTTGATCGTCTGGTTCTCGCAGCCCAAATCCTTTCTCAGTATCAAACGCAGCTCGTAACGCATCTTGAACGGCCTCTAGGCGAACCGTACCCGTTTTATACTCGGCATGAAATGCAATCGTTACCGTCTTTGGTTGATGGTCTAACACCATTGCAACATGAGGATTTCTTATCTGATTGACATAGTCCGCTAACTCTCGCCTCCGTAACGAAAGGACAACAACGTCAATACCTGTACGCCTGGATCGTCGGGACAGACATTCGCGAAATATATCTTTTTACAACCTCCCATGTTGCTTTTGTTATGGCTGTCCCAGATAAAAGGTGATGTTGCAATAACTGAAGATTTTTTAGGATACTTTGTCTGTTAGATACCGAAGTTCGGAACTCCTACAGATTTTTTCATCCTTTGTTGAATGAATAACGTAAATTTTTGACAGAGAAAGCAAATATTCCCACTCTGCGTCGACTTCTGTGTTGAAAAGCGACGTAATATAGCGAATTGTGAATCCTTATAATTAGCGAAATGCGGTACAATGTTGGTGCTAATGCTGATTCCTTCTATAAATTTGCTGCAGATCAGTATGTTCGGCTGCGCTTGTTCGGTGCCCTCGTCCTGTTTAATCGATATAATAGATTGCCGATAAGATAATGTGACATCTCTTTTACTGTAGTGAGAACTCCAAGCAGGACGCGGTTTATGTGCCACAGCAACCGTCAAGCAGATCAGCGGCCGTCGGGTGAACACAGCTGTTCAGGTCACATTATGGCAATAGCTTATCTGGACGATAAATCGATCGAGAATCATACAAGGCACGGTAAGTCGGATGTGAAATACAGTTAAGGCTTGCGAGCGCTGCTTGAGTATATGCGCGTAAAGAAGCTACCTACTATTATAGATGAGGGCTGCTTCGTTTGAAAGCTTAGCCATGAATTGGATCCATTGATGATTGGAGTTGTTGTAGATTGTTGAGGTCCTCTGTTCCTCATGAAATTGAAAAGTGTTCTGACCTGGTCATCAACTCGCACAAGTACAATGCAAAACTACGTCGACATGTCATGACTCTTGCGTGTGGATAGTGTTACGATGATTACGGTCGCAAGATAATATCACAATTACTGTCATTGTCATGGATTTTGATTACGGTCGCAAGGAAATATCACAGCTACTGTCATTGTCATGGATTTTGATAACAAACGTAATAGTATTCGTACATTGGTGTAGATATGTCAGGATATATTCAAAAGGTCTCAATGTGTCAAATGGTGTTGGAGCGCGTCACTTTTTGCAGTTATAATGTTATGAAATAAAGTCTCACTTGCGCCTCTATTCTGGCTCGCCAAATACTATTCCGTGTCTGCTGCGACGCTTTACGCTTTGCACTAGGTTGCGCTTATCTCGAAGCGGGTGCCAATGGCATTTGCGAGTGATCCTGTTTGAGTCTCGCTAGCTTAGAGCAGTAGAGAAGATCACATTTCCTTGATGAGGAACAATTTGTGTACAGATACCCCTGCTTGGTAGTCAGCCGTTTGTGACCTGTTAAGACCGTGCGTCGTTGCAGAAAGCGATTTTGTCACCATGGTTTTCACAGATAATGACAAAATAGTATGCCAGGTATACTTTTGATGTTACAGTACAAGTCGGGATGGCTTAACGTATTGGCAAGTGGGCTTTTCCGTCGCACCGAATATGAAATATCGCCTATCAAGAAGGTAAAAGCGCCAATTATTTAGGCAAAATGAACAGCGTACGGATCAGGCATGTCATATGTTGCACTGCTGAAAGATTGATCAAGCAAGTATCTCAAATATGTAGGTGTCGCTTCATTACATCACGCGGCTGCACGCTCGGCTCATCCCTATGCTCGCTGTGGCTCATACGACATTCAGCATGTAGGGGTCAGTTACGACGAGAGCCTTAAGTACAAATTACGGTACAGGGCATATAATATTATTGGATTGCCACTTCGAGGGCGAATACTGCCATTGAGCGCTATGTATTGAAAACTCATAAATGTTTAATGATTGAACATATCTATGTGTGCATCGGATATGCATTAAAGAATAAAATCCTCAGAGTGTGACCGAGGAGGGGGCCGCCAAGCACCCCCTCAGTAAGAAATTGCCGACACGGCTTGCAGGAAGAAATACAATGGAATAGTGATCCGGGATTTAGAACGATATTTAGCAATTTTTTCAAGGTGCTTGAATCCAAAAAGAAAAAATGATTCGCAAACGCTGGATAAGCCAAGACGCGGTAATAGTGTGTAGATGGTATTTTCCGAAGTATTTGGGCGGAGAGACCGCGGTGCTGGGACAGGTTACTCCTACTTACGACATTTGCGTTGAATAAGCAGTATATGCCTCTAAAGAACTTCTTCCTTTTATTCAAATGGTTTGCTATATTCACGGGTGCGTTCAACACCGCCCCGATGTAGCATTAGGTCTCATTCTTGGAGCTCTATCCATCAAATTTGAATTTATGATAGCAAGCTAGCTACACTTCGAAGCAAAATCAATGATTTATCTCGGGGGCATGGGCTTCATGCGCATGGTATGCGACGCAATACTAAAAGTTGAAGTGTACTTAAGCAACATGACGATGCCATTGGCAAGCGAATAATACAAAAAGTGTCCTGAGCAAATTATTGAAATGAGTAAGACTATGACATGGAGTGTCTGCGATCCCTAAGACCGGGTTGCGACTGTCTAAGTTACAACGTAACGGAATTGGGATTAAATGTTAATGTGAATGACTTAAAGTGAATGCAAGAACAGATATTGCTCTATGAAGAGCTTTACTGCAGGCGCAGCAATGTCTCAAACTTCCCTGTCCTTGAGCTACCCTCTGCTTTGAAGCGACGACGTAGATCTGAACCGCTGGAGATATCTCAAGCCAGGCAGTCCGATAGTGAAGCTCGAATGCACGCTGTGACTTCCGAATAGAGTCGGCATTCCAAAATAGTAAAGATAAACTGCTTGATCCAGCAACCGGCGGGTTGCCATCCGTCAGCACTGCTCGGTAAGCAACTAGCAGCCCACTCTCACGAAGAATGTCTGTCGAGCTGGCGGATGCGCCAAAAATGGAAGAGGCAAAATCAATTCTAAAAATCAGGATAGTATGAAATTATGCTTTGGCAAGATTGTTAATCGCGTACTACCAGGAGCACTCCATCCTTAATCTTCCTTAAAGGAGAGCAGGATCGTCCGGCCCAGCGCGTTTCCCTCTAGTGGTAGGCAACCGAATTGCGGCGAACAGTTCATTGATTGCTAGCTATTACAGCTGTATCATGACGATGAGTGATGGTGGGTTGCCCTCTCACCTGCGTCGTATATTATAGTTTGCAAAATCGATCAAGAGACGACGCTCTAGATGGACATACGTTTTGCGGAAGATTGCTAAAAATATTGAAGCGGTTGAGGCGGCAAATTTATCTCACCCAGTGCGATAAGTGAATTTGCTACTCATCCACACATTTACCTGGTTCAAATATCCAAGGAACATCCTTTAAGAAGAATCAGTTTCACCATACTATAGCTCTATATGTAGGCGGAACTCCTGGGAAGTGAAGATATGTGTATTCAATAAACACCCACGAAGCGACTCTATCGCTGTCAGGTTGCTCTTGGTGTGAACGCAGGGCCGGTACACAGAGATTCGCACCAGCGCGGCAGGCTTCCCCTGAACGGCATAAAGAATTCGGGTTGAGTCGACGTGGCTCAAATCAAACTTGTTGTCGATGGACTGACGTGGGCTCCACAGCGGGTGAAGTTACAGTTAAGACGATGGAATGGGCTCAAAGTCCGAGGCCAGCGTAGCGAAGAGATACAGCGCAATATGCGCCTTCATTCATTAGAGTGACTAGGCCAAGTATCGTCAAGCAAGAATGGAATGTCGAGTCATGCGAGACTCGGAGAATAGATTCGATCGCTCTCATCAGATAGCATCTCGGCTTTCGAATCAATATTTTTTTGGGAGCGTCAGTCACAAAGACCGCGCTTTTGCGAAGGCCCAAGCAGCCATTTGCATAGTAGGCACTTCCAGTGCAACTTTGACTGCAGAACAGACATGATAAAGTGCAGAGGGTGTAGTGAAACCCCAGGCGCAGCTGATGCTCATGAAGGGGTTACCTTTTCGCAGTGTCTTCAAATGACAAGATCGTGTCAAGTCCATCGTGAAGTGCGGACGTGGAGACGCGGTAAACTCTTTAATTTTGCATACCTATTACCCACACATTCCAAAAGCTGTTTCTTGTATAATGATAGAAATTTACGATAATCATTCTGCACAGTGTATCTGTGATAAACATCAGAATCGAGACATCGATAGTCGAGATGACGGGACTCAGTAGAGGGAAAATCGGTGGCACTCGTGAGCAGGGAGCCACACGTCAAGTATGCTACTATTCCTTGTATGAATTAGTCAGCATCTGTATAATTACTCTAATTAGAAATGAGTTTTAGTTTATGTCACCCCTGATATCGTAGAGCTAGAAATAGATTAGATACTGAAGAGGCTTTCGATTTTGCTCCTTGTCACAGCGCCCAAGTCAACCCCTATACGCTTATTGACGCGGAATCTAAGAGTCAAAACGTTTTTGAAATGTGCGCTTTTATTTTTCGCGAAAGAGGCTTAGGACTAAGAAAATTTGTCTCGTTTATACATGTAAATTTGGCAAGAACTTCCAGAAGACGTAATCATCGTTTATTTAAACGAAGAAAGATACCTAGGTCAATCTTCCCCCCCACCGACTGGAGGCTATAAGACTAGTCTCAAAACTCTCTAAGTTCAAATGAAGTTTGCTGCAGATGCCGATTGTTAAGAACATACGTAAGGTACGAGTTACTGAAAAGATGCTTGAGCGCTGGTTATTTACTATCACCAATCCTGCAGACGTTTTAAAATTTACTTCGTGGATCTTTAAGAGTCACGATACTAGATCCCTGATCATATGAGTCCTATGTTACCGCTTATCCTTGCGCACTATCTCCCCCCTGTGGAACTTATGGTATAGTGCAACATGCGGAAGTAACCTGTCCATACCGATAAGTTCTGGTATTTACCAGTTAGCGACTACTGGTCGAGACTCTTTCTTGACAACAACGTTATTGTGATCATCAACTTGAGGCAGAACAAACGCAAACAGGCATAGACGTCACCGATCACCGGTTGTATCTTAGTATTATTTCTAAATGTTTGCCTTCTGCCCTGGGGACTAGCCAACGCAAAAGATAGTAAATGATATTGCGAGTGCTCCAGCAGCAGTTTTTAAATTATCGGCCCACTCATTTTCCGGCTATCCTTATTGCCGGAAAATGATGGAGTGGGGCAAAACAGCCTACAAATCTTCATGGCTCGCACGCTGCACCACCAACGTGAAATTTGTGCGGTAGAAATGATCTCTATCTTTAAACGAATCCATAATGTGGATCCCCAGCAGGTCAGGACCATTTAAACGGCAGTGTCGCCTCTGTTTCGACGTCTGAAGCACGGCAAATTGCGCTCGTGTCCGAGCGTGACACAGCCTATGCCTAGCAACGAAGGCATGATTGTTCGTGTTGAATCTTGCACTGATCACGCAAACAAGAGGATGTAGACACGATTGACGTGATCCATTTGAACGAGAATAGCTTAGTGAAGTGGCTCTTCATTGTGTGTTCTAGCAAAGTGGGGCCCGAAATAAAGTTAATTGCAAACGCCACATTACGAAAGTGATGCGCCCGCGATATATGCTTGTATATTCTGACGGTATGTTGAGCATGTGGTCGCCAGTCGAGTATACGGTGCTACAATCAACCAGAAAATAAAGTCATTTATACGAAATTGTAAGGGAAAATACATCAAGATAACTACCGCGAATTTGTTGGCCGCTATTCAAGTATAGCACTCCCCCCGTATTGATTTAAAAAACCTCGACCATTCGCTGCATCAAACTTGACGCCACACTGTAGCACCAGCCTTTCAATTGCTGGCTTAATGCGATACCATTTAGACAGCAGTAGCGCAGTTCTCGCAATGTTGCTAATGTAATGAATGCTACGACGGATGTGCCAGAGGGTACACCCTTATTTCTCAGCAATGCGGGATCAGTGCGTGTGATAGAACATCTATAAGCTAGCACACATGTCAAAAGCAAAGCTTCACCGAGAAGGATTACGATTTCATCATGCATGCAGTAGTTACCGTCACACCATTCCACTATAACCACACTTATCGTAAGTGATGAGCAAGCGTTGTGAAACAGGAGGGGGACTAGTATTGTGGCATTACAGCTATGGTCAACCCGTACATAAAATAGTATATAATCCCTAGACATGAGTAATCACGTTACTGTGTACCCGTAGAAATACTAATATGTAGACCACTCCACCAATTATTTCTATATTAACAGTCCTACAAATGCTCTTTTTATCTGCTCTGTATCATTAATAGCATCCAAGTTGTCATCGTCGTCATATATTTTTCACAAGAGATGCAATTACTACTTCCAGTTACATCTGTTGCACAAAAGCGTGACTATGCTATGCTACTGGCAGAGATGGTTGCTATGATTAATATGATGATGACAATCAAAGACTCTACATGCATGACATTGAAGTTAGAGCAAGTGTTATATGACTTTACTCTATTGAAACATTATCCACCACGTGTAGAGTGTGCGTTTCTGCGTGAAAAGATGACCATAAAGGTCGACTCAGTCCGTCGCCTTTGATCTCGATAGAATCTCATTTTCCGATTCGCTGTCAATCGGCCAAACACAATCTCATCTCTTTTGACTGGGATACAAAGTTGTCATGACACTTCTCTGGTTATTGAGCGTTGCGTTTCTAGCGTTAACGTCTCCAGTGTACGCGCAGTGCGGTCCGCGAGTTCGTAAAGATTGGGATGCAATGACAGCTACCGAAAAGAGCACGTACATGGATGCTCTTGCTGCTGCAATGGATTCTGGTGCTTACGTCAAATTCATCGAAATGCACACGGAGATGCAGTCGGAGATGCAAGCCCATCGTCAATGCATGTTTATCTACTGGCATCGTATGCTGCTTGTAGTCTTTGAAAATATGTTGCGTGGGCAAGGATCACGATTTGCCTGTGTGACTGTGCCGTATTACAATTGGGTGGGAGCCAACAACCGCATGCTTGCTGGTTCGTGCAACTCTATTGGCAGTTGTTCAGCCATCACACGAGAGCTTGGAGGCTACACAACTGGATCACAACGGACTGTGAATATCAACAATGTTGCGAATACGGGCCGCTGTATCACACAGTCGCCACTTAATCATTTTTGCCAATCTGGAGCTGTATCTGGACGCGCTTGTGCTCACTGTGTACCGCGTGGAGATTGGGGAAGAGCAAGTGTTCCATCGAGCACTAGCTATGCATCAGTCTATCAGCAAATTTTCAGTGCTCAAAACATTGGTCAAATGTCGCCAAATATCGAGCAAGGTTGCCATAACAATGTTCACGCCAATTTGCAAGGGGCGATGGGTACGTTTGCATCGCCAGCAGAACCACTCTTTTGGTCGCATCATGCCATGGTTGATGCTGTTCATACAATCTTTCACAAATGTCGAGTCGGGACGCAACGACTGACGTTTGCTCAAAAAGCAGCTCATCCGGCTGCATGGACTTCATGTGCTACAAGGAGTGGCGGCACATTTCGTCCAACTGATGTCATTGTTATGCGCACGGGTGTCAACGGAATCAACCCAATTCCTGGTAATCAAGACCCACTCATTGGTCGCTACTTTGCTGGCGTTCCAAATCAGTTCGCTGGTCTTATGGATGTTCGCGACTTGGGTGATAGTAGCTACTCGTACGAGCTTAGCGGCCAACTTGCTGATATGTACAACAATTGCGACGGTACTTCGCAACCAACTCCAGCTCCAGCTCCGCGAGCTAGTACCACCCCATCAGCACCACCTCCGGTGACTCGTGCTACTCCTCCAGCTCCACCTGCCGCTCCAATCCCTGCACCAGCTATGCCTTTTTTCGGTCCACAGTCATCTGGTCAAAGCTGGCCCAACTGGTTTCGCATTCCCTGGGGCTTTGGCAGAGCACGCAGACTTAAAGAGGAAACCGAGGGGGGCACATGGCCAATAAATACCAAGCAGAATAATATTATCGGGAAGAAAGATTGCGATGACAAGAAAACCGGCTCTAGCCCGACAATTAACAATGTCCCGACAACAAACAATGTCCCAACAACAATCGTCAGTCCGATCACCAATACTATTCCAACCACAAACGTCGCCCCCCTTAGCAATTCGGTTCCATTGAACAAACCAGTACTGACTAACTCTACCGCTCCATGTAACAACTCCATTCCGACCAACACTACTACTGTGACATCGCCTCCTCCTGTGCCAGTATCACAAGCACCTTCACCTCAGTATGACGGTAATAACACCAACGTAGATGTGATCATAGTCGAGAGGGAGTGTGCTGAAGAGAAGCAAGTATCTACTTGGTATACAACGACAGCAGTCACAATGGGAGGTAAATGTCCCCAAGTTTCCGCCGATCTCGAGCGACAAATGTGTATGTTTGAAGAACAATGTCTAGGCGGAGTTCAGGATTACTCGGAAGCGTTCAAAGCCTTATGGGGAGCCAAAGAGCCCCGTTGCCTCCGAATTGTCAAAGCCATCAAGAGTGGCGAACAGAACATCACGTACGGAAATTGGCGTCAAGACATGGAACACTATTTTGGCTGTCCTAAACCAGCAAATGCTGCGTATGAGTCTGCATACCAGAATAGCGACACCTCGGTCGAGCAGGTGGCCTTTTAAAAAAGTGTCACAGTGTATTACATGTATTCAATCTAACATCCTTTGCTGTTACAATTGACTCATTTGTGCCCTTCCTGAGCTTTTAAATGTTATGGCGTAAACTAATTCTATCTGCCGTCGTTCGATTTAGACTCTTTGCCATGTACTTCTACTTTCTAAAGCTCTAGAGGTTGAGCTTCCAAGCCAATTGCATATAGTAAGTTAACTTTTACTAATTTATTATGATCGAAAAAGTTTCTGGAACATATGAATTACGTTCTCTACACACTTTTCGGCCGCATTTTCTAAAATGAATGCCATGCCACCAGCCATCGCCCAATTTGGGCTTGTGATTGCTGGTCGCCCCGTTATCACCGACTTTTGGTGCGCTAGTTGTATCATCTAGTATATGTATCCTCGAGTTATTCCTGTCTAACGATTAACTTTTAAACTGTTAGCGGGATTGGGCCAGCGCATTATGTTGTGGATATTTTGGAGCCGACTCAAGTGACGGACCTCACATTTTTTTTATTACCAAGCTCGCCTGTAGCCCCTGGGTATGGAGGTGAGAAGATGTAATTTGTGACATCGTAGAGTGTGGTCTTGATGTACCTGTTGCAATAGCTGTACTGTACTTTGCAGTACCAGCGCTACAGAATTGGCAATTGCTGGGCACTGTGTTTGCTGAAAAACCCAGCGCTATCTTTAGGACGTCTTGGCCAACGCATCCTGATGTTGTGGGTCAGCCAGTACTGCAGCTTGGTGTATCTATTGAAAGCCTGGATAACGTCAAGAATCTGGGAATTGAGGCTAGTGGATTGGAGGAGCGCAAGGCTTTTGCACTAAAAATTGCCCAAGATTTATTTAATTACCTTAGCTCGTTTTCAAGCAGCAGTAGCCAAGGCTACATGACGATTCCTACCAACCTATTAGACAAGTGGATGGAGCGATTTGAAGCAAAATACCGACGAGATCCCAATTTTATGATGAAAACTTTGTGAATCTTAACTTTTAAAATATCGAACAAAAACCACATCTTGTTGTGTAGAGCCAGACGTAATATTCCCTTTAGCAAAAGGACCGTCTAACAATGCACTGATGAGTGGTATTCTATCGGATAATACTTCCGATGTGTTAACTTTTGTAATTTTCCCAATATTCATATGCCAAAATATTCGCAAGAAAACAGAACTTTATCTCGATGTCACAATTTTGTATAATCTAGTGCATGTCCACCACATGTTTATCAAATCAGCAGATACATGAAAAGCTTAATCTTCCTTATCATCAACCTCGTCGTCGCTTCCTGCCACATGGCAACGTCGATGTACAATGTACTTATGTACACAGACTCGAGATTTGAAGAATGCGTAGGACGCATCCTTTTCAATCATACAAATCGCTGCTATCCGCTATGTACACAAAATGAAAACGTCGCTGCCTTTGCCCTTGATGACTACCCTCAAGGATCACGGCTCGTAGTTTTTGAAGATTTTGAGTGTCAAGGCAACTTCATAGCTGGGAGCAAAGAATTGAAGGCTGACTTATCGACGGTCGCCTCTGCTCGTAAAGTTCGATCGTTCATTTTATCGACTAATTTGCCTGTTGTCCCCGTGCAAAGCATTGTACACTCGTGTCATGAAAAGAGTGACATCATATACAACTATCTCACTACTTAGAAAAGATGAAAACATTAATAACTATCATCTTTTTCATGAGAAACATGTTTCGGATCACTTGAAGGCTCGTCTTCGTCATCACTGATCAGGTCCATGAGTAATTTCGTACATATCGTTGGATCTGGAAAGTTTGGCACTTGCCATTCAAGAGACATATTAGTCTCCTTCGCATTTTTTGGACTTCTCTCCGATGTGTCATTGTTGTCTATCTCGTTGCTTTTCTGCTCTCTACTGCTGTTACAATGACCTCTCTTTTTGATTTGAGCACGTTCTTCAGGCACCCACGAATCGTTATTGCTATGATCACTGTGATTGTTGTTACTCCTGGAGCTAGACAAAGCATCACCGCTCGAATAGCGCGATTCATATCGATAAGTTTGCATTAGTTTCCGTAGGTTGGCTAAATGAGCTTCAACTCGTTTGCTGGCTTTCACTCGAGCTTTCGCAGCTATGATAGACCGCTCCTTCTCCTCCTTCATTATGCTACTCCACTCTTCCTCGCGCAGTCGATTTGTCAAAAGACGTTCTGCTTCTCGATGTCGCTTCAGTCGCTCTTGCTCATCAGCAAGTTCCACATCCCTCCGACGTTGTCGAATTTGTGCAGTTTCTTCAAGGACCTCGGAGAGTTCCATTTCTAGTGTCGCCTTTGTAGCTAACAGTCGAGCTACTTTAGCACTCTGAACAGCATTTTCTTCGACAATTTTGTCAAACTTTTGACAAATACGCTCACGCTGTCTCGATTTTCTGGTATAGCTTTGCTTCAAGTGCATGTGTAAGGACATCTGCAGATAAAAGAACATAATTAGTCGTGCATTCAAAATAAATGGAAACACCACTGGTAAGATACCTTTTCTCGTAGATGTGTTTCAAGCTCTGTCATGAACGCACTCGACGTTTTTTCCGTTCCAAAGCGTGGATCGATACCCCATCCATCGTTCTGATTCTCTGAGCTGCCGTTTGAACATGTAGGATTCGAAGTAGTGGAATGACAAAATGATTTCGCACGCACAGCTTCAATCTTGGCCATTTGCTTTTGCAATCGAATTGCAGCTTCTTGACGTTCCATCTCTTGCTCACGTTCAAGCTGCAGCTTCTCTTGATGAATGCGCTTTGCCCGCTCTTGAGCAAGCGCAATCGCCGCTGCAATCTTCGCAACATTTGCCTTTGCTTCAGCTTTAGGATCAGAATGCTTATCGCTGTGGTTGATTGCACGTTTTTTCTTTCGCTTGCGATGTTTCTGATGTATATGGCGCGGCTTTCGCGGTCTTTCATGCAAAATGGAGCTTGTGTGAGATGCCTCACTTTCATCCTTTCGACTAGAGACTCTACTACTAACAGGACATGACGACAAAGACGAGAACGATCTGCGTGAGATGAAATTATCTTGAAGCTGATCACTTTTCTTGTCATTATTCGGGCTATACACAGGAAATGAATCAAAAGGTTCCATTACAGAATCAACTCGACTTCTTCGTTGTCGATTAATGAAGTTGTTGCGTCGAGTTTTCATCAAGCTAGAATTGGCAGCAAAGGATTCACGATTCACTTCTGACGTTCTTACACTATGATTAGAAGATAAAGGCTTAGCATTCCATGACGAGGACTTGCTGACTACAGGATAGGCGACTTGACTAAATCTTTCCTGAATTTGAGCCTCTTGCTCAGCGAAAAAGCGTCCAATCTTTTCGATAAGATCAACCATCTTTTTATACTAGAATGTCATGACAAGAGTCGTTCCTATTACCAGCTTCTATCTAAATTCTTCATTAATAGTTTCGAAGTTACAGAGACCTACATTCTCGATTCAAAGTAAGAGTATATAATGGTAATGGCTTGATGAATGTATAATAAATTCTGTATCACGGGTATACTCCATGTATCCATATACTAAAAATGTGCTGAAATTTGGCCTCATTACTGCTTTTATAATATTATAAAAAGACCCGGTAAAACCAATGACGACTGTAGTAATCGTAGACGACCATCACCATTGTTTACCGGACATCCACTTGGTTCTTTTGATATAACTCAAGTTTGCTGTGATTGATAAATTACTAAACATATTGTGATGACTTAGGCTATACGCCAGCATTGTCTGCCCTTCTCACATATCCACGTCATACATGTGGATGCACATCCAGATTTATCCTTCTCTGCGAATATAGACACCAATGTAATTTTTGATCCTGAAAAATTGTACGATACGCTAGACGAGTCTATTGCAGGGATTGCAGAATTTTTGCTGCCTTTGGTGTTTGCAGGACATGTGAATCAAATCACGTGGCTTAAACCTTCATGGGCAACGCAGGTGCGCGTTATCGCAGACTAATTGGCATTTCATACCTCAATCAACATATTTAGATGCCATGTGGAGCATTTCAAAAGCTCAAGGTCGGAAGACGTAATTTAAATGGTTAGTACAGCGAGATTAAACGTATCGTGGATAATGTAACAAAATCTTACTTGATATCTTAGGAGCTATGGGAGTGACGTGCGGGCTACCTCATTTCGTAGAGGACGAGCTTTATTGTTCTGTTGAGGAGATGAATCCATCATCGACAAAAGCGTGGGACCTGTTTGTCACGGAGATGAAAAGCTCATTTGATGACGGTGCAACTGTAGCGACCAATGCAATTTCAACTGCACGAACCAATACAGAAGCTTTTATCCTCGACATTGATCTCGACTATTTCTCGACGTGGAATCCTTTTCGAAAAGGTACTATTTAAAAGACAGTCCTACGTCGACTTGTTAACGGAATGCTCTATTGACTTTCTAGGATTAGAGATGCACATTGACCACGCAGCTATGAAGATTGTAACGCAAGTATTCACTTCTGTGCGCTACAAAGTAACCCCTCTTGATTCTATGCAGCCGAAGCAGCGAGATTTTGAAAGAAGGGAATTCGGGTTGTGGATGAATCGTCTCGAGGCAGCTGATAAAATGGAAAACGCTTCGAAACGTACATTGGAATTCAATCAAGTCGTTGATA